TGATTTCTAGTCGTGTCCATTTTTGGAAGGCCAAACAAAGTAGTTTCGCTTTCACAACGAAACAGTGTCACACACTGAGCGGCCTTGAGTGAGCGGCGGCGGGTGGGCTTGAGAATGGCGCGGCAGGCGATTTCGAAGAAGGAGCGTCCGGAAGGACATGTGACGACTCCGGGCTAGACTCCGCTTCGTCCAAGGTGAAAGCCGATCCGGCGATACACAGCGCAAAGTTGTAGTATTTCCTCAGCAACCAGCACTGATCAGCTCCAGGCATGACGAAGCAGATATCGTCCTCTTTTGGAAGGCCATACAAAGTAGTTTTGCTTTCACAAGCGTCACACACGGAGGGCTTGAGTGAAAGAGAAAGGAAAAGTTGAAATCGCATCATATGACCCCTTTAATTCGCCCTTCCACAAATTCAGTCCTTAAAAATGTCTTAAATCAGAGCAGAAAGTCTTAAGTTTATTAAGTCGTGGCAGTTGCATGCTCTGCAATAAATGAATATCTTCCTCAGTATTATTGTCTTGTTTTCTAATACAAATATCTAAGCATCCTTAAATCAAGATACAACTTGAGATGCAAATTGAAGACATGGAAGTCTTGTTTTCTGAGAAGTTGAACAAAATTAAGTGAGTTTATGCTTTAAACAAGAACAAATATCTGTCAGTGGGGAATGAAAACTCTTTTCATTTTAATCAGTTAATCAGAAAGCAATACTTTTTTTTTTAATCTTAAAGAATTTTAAAGAACACTTCCAGAATAAAAATTTCTATCAGAAAGACTCAGAGAGAAGGTAAACGTTTACATAGTATTTATTCCATAAAGTGTTACAGATGGTGGTGAGCTACAATAAATCATGTATTGTTGTATAAAAGTTCTTTGGCGTAGGACGAGCATTTGTGGTTAAAAAGTATATATATTTAAATTTTTTTAAGAAAATGAGCAATGGTTTTGCTAGATAAGACTCTTATTCCTCGGCTGGGATCGTGTAGAGCTCTTTGAAGCTGCACTGAAACTGCAATTTGGACCTTCAGCCCATTGGTCCCCATTGAAGTCCATTATATGGAGAAAAATCCTGGAATGTTTTCCTCAAAAACCTTAATTTCTTTGCGACTGAAGACAGAAAGACATGAACATCTTTAACATCTAATCCTTTAAGTCATTTTGCTTCTCAAGGAAGTGTATGTTGATTTAAGAATCTTTAGACATTTGCACTGAAAAAGAAACAAAAATACTGATGAATAACATCAACTTTTTTTTTGCAGTGTGATCAGAAGGTAGAGTAAAAGTTATTTCCATATTCAGGTGGATGGGATCAGAGCTATTCAAGCCTTAAGCTTTTTCTTTTAGTAAGATGTATAAGAAAATAGTGGAGATCTGTTGGAAGTTGTCTTTTCAAAATTTGAAGTATTGCTAATATAACTCATTATGTGCTCTCTGGACATTTACGTTTAGAGACTATATTGACATATTGTGATCCCTTCAATTTATTTCTTACATTTTCTTTACTTGGTCTTAAAAGGTGTTTAAAAAATCTTAAATTTACCTTCATTAAACCTGCAGAAACCACTTTTTTGCTAGAAAGTTATTTTTCATAAAATGTTTTATTTTCAACATTTTAGTGAATTCAAATAGTTTTTCTTTAT